ACACCTCATAAGGCAAGGCTGCCTATGTGGCTCTGGATGAATCACTTCACCTTGCTAAGCCTCAGTTTTCTCATCTGTAAAATGAACAGGTTATGAATCAATGACCCTAAGATCCCAATTATATTCATGAGCAAAATTAATGACTAGCGCTGATAGAATCTCCTGCTAATAGGAGCCCTTTCACTATGGGCTTTTGAAACCATTTGGGGATTGTCATTGCAAAGCTGGCAGTCATTTGCCTATGCTCCTTGGAAGGGTAGAGGGTCTCTGGACACATCGACTCAGCCCAGAAGGCGGCCCCAGTTCGGAGGTGCATGCCCATGGAGAGACATAGATTTAACTACAAGGTTCATGAGGCAACATTCAAATACACTTCTAATAGTGTGGCCAGCAATTGGGGGATTTTCTGATGTCATCTGTGAAGGGACACAGCCAAAGTGTTCCTGGGAGTTAGCAAAATTCTGTGCCAAAAATTTAATTATGACAATGAGCCGCAGAATGTAGGCATGTCTTTGTTGATTAGCTGAGGGCGAGTTGGGTTCATTCAGAATCAGGGGACCTTCAATTTGTCGGGGGATGGCTCCCATCTGGCTGGTGGTTTTGCCAAATCCCAAACCTGGGCTCTTGTGTCTAAAATTTCAGCATCTCCTTGGACCACATGTCTTTGCATTTAGATTTAAAAAAAAAAAGTCAATTATTGTTATGAATGGCCAGATGATCCCATCATCCCTAAACCTAGAGATCCACTGAGAATCACATTGACCTTTGATAAATCTTGAGGTATGTCAATTAATCTCTGAGACAAAAGAGAAAAAAAAGGGGGGGGAGGGCTTCCTTCTCTCATCTGCAAGGCTGAGGCTTGCTGAAAAAGGGAAAAAGGAATGCACAGTGTATAGAAGGGGGAGTGGGGAAACCTTCATCTAAGTTACAGATTTAGAGCGAGGATCTTAGAGGTCATCTGGTCAAAGGTCCCCCACCTCTCACTTTTAGATAAGGAAACACAGGCCCAGAAGGGGCATGACTGACTTACATTCATATACTTCTAGATTTAGACCTGGGGGGGACCTCTGAGGTGGATCTAGTCACAATCTCTTCATTTTATGATTGAGGACATTGAAGCCCAGAGTAGTGAAAGTGACTTCTGTTCATACACTTAGAGCAGGAGGGGATCTTGGAGAAGATCCAGGCTAAGCCTGCCATTTTGCATTTGGGGAAACTGAGGCTGAGAGTGGGTAAGGGTTCATGGTCCTGCAGGGAGTAAGGCAAGAAGTGACAGAGCTGGGATTTGATTCCAGGTCCTCTGACTTCAAATTCAGCCTATTTCTACCACACCACCCTTGTTCGGTATAATGGCTAGAGGGTTGGACTTGAGAGTTAGAAAGATCTGCATTCAAATCCTGCTTCAGATATTTATTAGCCATGTGACCCTGAGCAGGTCACCTAAGCACTCTCAGCTTCAGTTTCCTCATCTGCAAAATAGAAAAAATAAGAATACCTGCCTCACAAGGGGTTTTTGTTGTTGCTGGGTTTTTGTTTTTGTGTTTTGTTTTGTTTTGTTTTTGGTGAGGATTTGATGAGATAATACATGTAAGTACTTTTTGTTCAGTTCAGTGGTTTTCAGTCATGTCCAACTCTCTGTGACCCACTTGGGTTGGGTTTTTTTTTCAAAGATATTGGAATGATTTGCCATTTCCTTCTGCAGCTCATTTTACAGATGAGGAAATTGAGGTAAACAGAGTGAAGTGACTGATTCAAGATCACACAGCTAGTCAGTCTATGACTAAGTCACAGTCACAGTCAGACTGGGTCTGGCTAAGTGCTACAGAAATATGATCTCATTATTATTGCTTTGCTATTAACTGTGTGACCCAGGAGAAGTCCCTCCAGAAATACAGATTTCCTCACTTGGACCACGTGGGTTGGGATGAAGCAGGTGAGACCCATCACCTCGGAGAGCTCCCCCAACCCTAACAGTCCACATGGACCTGTGCACATCATCCAGGGATCATCCCTGGGGACCTGCTCTAGGCGGGTAGTGGAGAGTAGGGCCTGGGATGCCGTCTTATTTACTTAGGACAGGTTGTTCCAGCTGCAGATGGTGAATGCCCTGACCTGACCATAAGGTTCTTGGTTGGAAAATAACTCGCCAGTGGCAGGAGGCCATCTAGACCTTGGCTCCCCAGGCTGGCTGGAGTTTGTTTGCTTAGCACCTTCCCCTTTGGTTTATTTAACATTTGGATCTCAGGGCTGGTCCCTGGAGAGAGACACCTTTGCTTCTTACAAAGGTCCAGTGAGAGGGAAAGGGTCACACAGAGGTACCAGGATGGACGGCGTCTCTACCATCCACAACAATATATCTCAAGGCTAAATACTAAGCAAGATGGGCCACATTGGCTGGGTGTGATTCCCATTCCCATTAGACTAACTGGGAGGAAGATGAAGAACTTAGTATTTACTCTGTGTGTGTGTGTGTGTGTGTGTGTGTGTGTGTGTAAGCGTGTGTGTGTTGTAGAGGTCTTATTTAACAAGAAGGGATATTTGTGTATACTTTAATGTTTTTCCACCTTGGGAGACTGGAGTCCTAGGACCTCCTTTCCTTCACTGATTTGGCTCTAAAAGTTTTTTTAAATTAGTGGACTGGGTCAAATGAAGGACATATGAGTTGTACATGCTGGCTAAAAATGCATACTAAAACACTAGTGTCAAGTAACAAGTATATTTAGAAATCAACAGCTCCTTTCTCCCTTTCCCTCTTTTCACATCTCTCCTTCCCTCTCCTGCCAGTTTGACACTCAGCGCATTTTGCTCTGAGGAATTCCAGGTATGGAAATCTCCTTCACCAACGTAGTTTGGCTACTCTCTGCAATGTAAGATCATAGTATTTAGATCTAGAAGGGGCCTTTAAGAAAATCTCCTCCTTTTACAAATGAGGAAGCTGATGCCTGGAGACATAAAGTAACTTACCCAGCGTCAACCAGCTGCCAAGTGGTGTAATCAGGATGTGAACCCAGGTCTTTGGATGTCAATTCTGACATTTGGGGCCAAGCAATATTTTTGTCAGTAACCTATAACTTGGTCCTTTGGGGCATCTCCTGATATACAATCTCCTACCAATGCAAATGGTAACACAGAGTATGGGAGGCTGCCTGCAGCACTAAAGTAATTAGTCTAGGGTCACACTGATGGGTGCCAGAGTTGGGATTGGAACCCAGCCCTTCCTAATTTCAAGATCAGCCCTCTAGCTACTATACCACAATGTCTCACATGACATTCATGCCCTAGAAAAATCTGTGAGGACTCATTTTAGTAGAAACTCAATAAGTTTTTCATTTGATAGATGAGGAATCTGAGACCTAGAGAGATGATGTGACGTCTTCTCATCTTGTAGACGTATTCTACATAAAAACTGGTCTATTTATGCTAGTCTAATTGCCTTGATTTAAGTCCATGTACATCATGAAGCCTGCTGGAGTATTGTGGGGTGCCCTCATGCTCTCTTCCCCATATTTTCCACCTTTCCCATCACTCTTCTGGGGACCACTTTCTTTTTTTTTTTCTTTCTTTTTTTTTTTGTAAAGTGGTTCCCATGAAAGGCACATGTAAAGAAAGAAAAAATATGAAGACAGACTGAGATTTGACCTGGGTTGGGGTGGGGCATCAGAAGACAGAAACCCTGAGTTCACAGAACCATAGAACCTCCACATCGTATGGGTTGGCCTCAATGGCCTCTGAGACCCTGCCCAACTCTGAGGTTCAGGGATTTGATGATTTTGTGAAAGAGAACTCCCGAGGTGGCGGCGTCTAAGCATTCTGTGCAGGAATTCCCAGTCAGTGGTCATCCTGCCTCTGCCTGAAGACCTCACACAAGAGGGGATGTCCCTCCCTCCCACTCAGCTCCCCACATGAGGAAGCTTCTTTTTACACGGCGCGCCTAAGCCTGGCCTTCTTCATCTTCCTACTCTGCTCCTACTTCTGCCTTCTAGGGGAGGGGCCAAGCAGAAGAAAAGGATTCCTGCCGCTAACATTTTCTCCCTTCGTGACCTTGGGCAAATCAGCTCCTCTCTCCAGGTTCTCATTTCCTTCTATCTCCCACTTGGGTATGAGATGGGGCCATGTGGAAGGGCCCTCCCAACTCAAAATCCTTTGAAATCACATCAATCCGTCTCCTGTGGCAATCCCCATTTTAACCAAAGAAAAACTGTGACTGTTCACTATAAGCAAAAGGGGGCAGGGGAAGAAAACCCCAAAGAAGTACCAGTGACTCAATCCTGCCTGTGATCTCATCCCAGTGTTTTGCTGGTGAATCGATCTGAAACCATGTGGTTTCTTTCTGTCAGACTGAGGCCACGTTCTGTAGGAGTCTTGTCTGAAGCTCCTCTCCTCACAAGTGATAATATTTCTGCCTCCTCAAATTAGTTTGTATTTACTTTGCCTATAGTTTGTACATATATACATAGTGTGTGAATGATATATACATATATACACACTATACATGTATGCATATATGTATATATGTGTGTATATATATATATATATATATACACACATATACATATATCCACCTATCTATTGTTTCTTCCCTGTAGAGTGTAAGCTCCCTGAGGGCAAGGACTGTTTTCATTCCTTGCCTTTCTATTCTCAGTGCCTAGCATAGTATAGTTTACAAATAGTAGGCACTTAATATTTATTGAATTGAATTAGTATCTTTTTTAAAGCATCTAGATCTGCTCCACTATCTGAATAAAATATCCGCCAGTACACCTGGCAAGAGGGGGAAATGGCATGCGCCCTCTGATTTTGCCAGATCCCACTTCAATGACTCCCTGGCAAGGAGTCGAGGGCAGCAGCTATGGATTAAAGACCTCATAGATGGTGCCTATGTTTTTGCTGGCATCCCAGAGCGCCACGTTTGTGCTTAGGTCAACCAGCGCCTGTGGGTTCCCCAGTGCCCAGTTTACACAGGGCCTTTGTGTGGCGGCAGCAGAGCCAGGGGCCCGCACCTGAAGCTGCATGTTTGTCTGGGTGAGTTCTTCCGCTTTTTTTTCCAGTGACATCACCCAGACCTTCCTCTTCTGTCTACAGCGGGTAGCAGCAGCCCGGTTCCTTTCCAGAAACTTCCTCCGCCTCTCGTCTGGGTCCTCGTCCACCACCCTTCGCCGACGCCCCCCGGTTGGCTGGGGCGGCTGTATCGTCTGGGTGGGCTGCATCTGCTGTGTCGCTGGTGAAACCTGCCCAGGGTTGGAAAAGGGAAGGGAGAAGGATGAGCAAACAAGCCCGAGCTGGGGAGGAGAGGCAGGGGACCAGGGGTCTGACACCTCAGTTGATCGAATGAGCTCTTCCAGGCATTTGAGAAAACAGACAAAGACACATCTGGCAACCTGGGGGTCTTTAGCCCTGTTCAAGGCTCAGATCTAATGCTGTCCAATTCCCCATATTGCTCCTGCTCCCCTCCCCAACTACTTTGTCCTTACTTCACATGCATTTCATATTCACTTACTTACACCTTATTCTCCTCCAGGAAAATGTAAGCTACTTGAAGGCAGAACCTATTCTCATTCGGGTGTTTGTATGAACAGCTTCTGAGATTCTGGCTCAGAGAAGGCCTTTAACAAATGTTTGTGACCTTGAACGGAATTGGCATCATTCTTTTGAACTCATCACCTGAATCTGTTCCTCTTGGTAACTCACTCAATCGGGATTAATTAAGTGCCCACTGTACGTGGGGCTCTGTGCTGGACACCTACAAATAGGATATATTCCCTGCTCTCGAGGAGCTGACATTTAAGTGAAGGAGGCAATAGATACACACACAGGAAAGGACCGGGTAAACTTTTTGGGGGGGGGGGGGGGGGGGGGGAAAGATAGGAGAAAGGTAGCAATTCAGTGACTTTGCCAGATCTGACTTCAGGAGAAAAATACTGGCTCTGGAGTCAAAGGACCTGGGTTTGAATCTTGCCTCTGAAGCTTCCTTAGGTGTGTGACTTTGGGGAAATCATGACATCCCCATGGGTCTCAGTTTCTTCCTATGTAAAATGAGGGGGTTGGAGCAGATGGCTTCTGGGGTTCCTTCCAGCTCTCCATCTAGAGTCCTGTGACCATTGTGGAGGCTCTGGGGAATGCTCTTCTCATGCCTTCTAACCTTCTAAGGCACTCAGAGAAAATTCTGCCCTAACCCCTTTCCCCCAACAGGGGGATTGAAAATGTTTCATTTAAGTTGAATTTGAAAACAAATAAACAATGTGGTAAAAAAAAGAAGAGAGAGAGGTTAGGTTTGTGGTCTGAACTTTGATGACAGATCTCAGCCATCTGGGAAGAGTTCGCCTAGGAACAGTCAGTCCGCCGCTTCCCCGAGACTCACGTTGGAGAACTGATCGCACAGTAACAGAACCCAAGATGAGTCTGGTATGGCCTTCACTGCCTCAGGGGTCTGAGCACAAGGAGGCAGACGGTCTCCGGCAAGACACGGGTACCCGTCCGGCTTTGGAGCCCTTCCTTAGCATCCCTAACATCCAGATATTGTTTCAAGGTTTGCAAAGCACAGTAAGCTCTGCTGAAATGTTGGCAAATTGCTTTACATAAATCTTCTCCCCCCAGCTTCACTCTATAGTGACTGGAAGCCCTTCCTGCAGGAGGGATGGTGTTCACTGTCTCTGAGAACAATCTGCGAACAAATGAGAAGCGTTAGGGTGGAGAAAATAGAGAACTGGGGCTTCAAAGTTGGGAAAGACCCGGGTTCAGATCCTGTCTCCAGCTGTGTGGCTCAGGGAAAGTACCTTCCCATGTCTGATCCTCAGTTTTCTCACTTGTAAAATGGGCTAATAAAGCATCTGCCTCATGGATTTGTTGTGGAAATTGAATGAAATGAAGTCATACACATAAAATGCCTTGATAATGACAACAGCAAAGGGTTGGGGGCATTGCTACACTTCTGGTGTCTGAGAATAAGGATACTGTTTACATCAGAGATGTCTGCTGTCTCAGTGGGTCAGATGCGCCATGGCCCATGGTGTCATTGGGTCCCTGGTGTCTCCCAGCGCTGTTTAGACTGTGCTCGACCAGGTCTCCTCAAGACTCAGAGACATTTCGAAGTCCAGCCACCTCCTACATTGCTGCCTTTGCCCTCCTTCCCTACACAGGGAGATCTCGTGAGACCCTCAGATCTGTTCTCGTGGGCTTGGACACCTGACCCCTCCCCCTATGCACTTTGCTCCTTCTCTTTTTTTCACTCACAGGAAAAAACAAGTTCATTTCTCAGTCACTCAGATTTACAGCTGTAATCTCCATGAAGACATTTTATTAGAGACTCTTTGCCTGTGTGAGTACTAGGCAGAAAGTCTAAGAAATGGAACCCAATGGCCTGCCTCTCCAATGTTCCCTGGCACAGAATTAGCACTTAGTATATGTTTGTTGACCGAGTGACTGACTGATGGGTTCTCATCAGCATGGCTAGAGTCATCATGCTAATGGCTATAGGTTGACATCGTGAAGGATGACGGATGGATGGTGATATAGTTTGACCCCAAACTCTATCAGACTTTCTGTGGATTTCTGTGTGAGCTGACTTTTATATAATGCAAAAGAGTTCCTCAAAGCCACTTATTGGTGACTTCATAACACCCACCAGCCTCCTAATGCCTGTTAGTGAGAAAACAGATGCACTGTCTAAAGCCTTGGTCCCTCTAGGGACCATCGAGGTAACCAGCCCTGTTATGGGGAAAGACTGAGTGCTCATCACTTCAGAGGCCTAGTGCCGGAGCCAAACCACCCACTCCAAGGCAAAACATCTCCGCAGAGAACATGATGAACTGCCCGGCTATTTGTGCTTTTATCCAAATCCTTTTCCTGTGTGAAATAAAACATGAACTCATATTCATATTTGGGGGACCAGGCTTAGCAAAATGGTGAGGTTGGCAAAGTGGATTTTAGGTTTCCCTCCATCTGCCTTTCAGGGCCTCCCTTCCAGGACCTTCCACCAGCCCTTCATCTGTCTAGGTGGTCAGTTCCCCTTCCTCCCTCTCCCCCTTTCCCCTCTCCCACCCCTCAATGCTTTAAGCTGAAGACGTGAGTTATGTTAGAATGTCAGACCTACGGCAGGGCCAGTAGAGAGATGGTATTCAACAGGGGGAGCCCTCCCCATGTTCCTGCCTTTGTAAAGTCTCTTTGCTGCCCTGGAAGACAAGCAGACAAGCCAAGCCTTGCGGATGGCCAGGACGAATGTTACAAGAACAGGTCTGTATGTCAGAGGGTCAGCTCCTAATCTGGGCTTTGCCCTTGCTGCCTGTTTGACCTTGGGCAAATCACTCTTCTCTGTAGAATGGAGACTGGACTGGAATATCTTGGAGGTCACTTCCAGACTGAATCCTAAGATCCCTCTCCTCAGCCAGGAGAGATTACAAATACAAATCCAAGACAGGTCTTTATGTTCCCATCACTCTGTGCTCCCTGCTACTGAAGTCTCTAAGATTTTGATCCTTTTCAAACTTTTAAAAAATCAGAATCATGAAATTAATCTTCATAAAAGTTTAAGTTAATTTATCTCGACAAACACTGAGTCCTGTTTTGTAGGTTAAAAGTACCAGGTTGTTCTCAGGCAGGTATTTCTAATATTTTATATATGTGTCATGGATCCCTGGCAATCCCAACCCTATGGATCCCCTCTCAACATTTTAAAATAAATTTTAAAGTAACATATTTAAATAATGGAAAGAAATATTAAATTTAAGTTTAAGGTTCTGAGGTCATTAATCCTACTCATGACCTTGGTCTCTTGCCCCACACCCAGACCTTGCCCCATTGTTTTATCTCTAATAGCTTCCGTATCTCCTTCTCTACTGGCTCCTTCCCTTCTGGCTAGAAGCAAGTCAAAGCCTCCTGAATCCTAAAAGCAAATCCCTACCATCAACCTTGCCACTTTCTCACGCTATCATTCGGTATCTCATCTTGCTTTCCTTGTTAAAATTCTAGAAAGAGGAGTCTCCCCAGGGTGCCTCCATTTTCTCAACACCCATTTGTTCCTCCGCCTCCCAATCTTATCATTTGAGTGGCTATATGAAGGATGGAGAAGGGGAAGGCTGGAGGTTAGGACAGGGGTACAAAAATCTTCCAGGCAAGAGTTAGAAAGGACCTGAACTAGGAGCCTGGCCATGTGAGCGGAGAGGATGGTATTGCTGTAAGAGATATTGTGACATGGGAGTCACCATGTGTGTTAAATGTTTATGGGATTTAATTAGATAAGGATGGAGAAATGTTGAAGGAAAAGGAAGAAAGATAAGATTTTGACATTGAGATTTTGAGCTTGAGGGATAGAGAGGATGATGGTGCCATTAATAGAAAAAGGGAAGTTGGGAGGAAAGGGATGTTTATGGGGGAGATAACAAGACTAATTTTGGATATGTTGAACCTGAGTAGCTAGGGAAGAGACGTCTTATAGACAGTTGGAACAATGTGACTGTAATTCAGGGGGAGAGACTGACATAGATTTCAATCAATCAGCAAGTGTTTAGGAAGGTTTTACTATGTGCCAGGCTCTCTTCTAGGCACTGGGGATACAAATCAAACAGTCCTGATTCTTAAGACAAATCATATTGGGAGTCATCTGCCCAGAGGTGATAACTGAAGTCATAAGAGTGAATGACATCAGAAAAAAGAGAGAAGAGAAGAAAGCTCAGGACACCATATTGAGGGACACTCACATTTCTTAGTCAGAGGAAGAAAGATGAACTATCAGATACTGAGAAACAACAGTCATACCAAATCATGGAAACCTTGGGAGACCTGATTGTCCAAATGGAGGGAGTGGTTAATAGTATTAAATCCAAATGGTAAAAAAAAAAAATGAGGAAAGAGGAAAAAACCACCTTGATAGGGCACATACAAGGCTGCTGGTGACCTTGGAGAAAGAAATTTCAGCAGGGAGGTAAGGACAGAAGCCAAATTATGGGAAGTTGAAGAGATGGGAGGTAATGAAGAGTGGTCTCGGATTGTAATCTGTTCTCTCTAGAAACTGAGGAGTGAAGGAGAATAGATATAGAATGATAGCTTTGGGGGGACGTCAGAAGGGAAGAGAAGGAGTTTTATTACTTTGTAGGATGAGAAATCTTAACACATTCGCAGGCAGAGTGGAAGGAGAAGAGAGTGGCTGAAGACATGAGAGTTATCGAATCAATGACACTAAGAACTGAACGAGAGGAGAAGGGATAGGATTGGGGATTCAAGTAGGAACGTTACTTGGCTGAGATGTTGACTGCAGGGAACAAAGAGTGGCTAAGTAAAGACATACCAGAGAGACTCTTGAGGTATGGAGGAGAGGAGAGAGGGAGCTCAGGACAAGTAACTCCAATCTTAGGTTAAAGATGGAAGCAAAAGTTTTCTTCTGAGTGAAAGGGATAGATAATGGGGAGATTTGAAAGAACCATTGTCTGACTTTGATAAGGAATCATCGGAGTTGGGGATCTCATTGCCACATCCAGTTCATGGGATCATAGATTGAAAGGTCATTGAGAATAACCCCCTTAGGTCACATATGCAGAAACTGAGGCTCAGAGAGGTTATCTGAGGTGCCCAGTGTCACACAGGGAAGAAGCTGAAGAAATAGGGATTTGAACCTAGGTCTTCTCCCTCCAAATCCGGCACTCTTTCCCCTCTATCACACTCAGAGAGCTTATGGCTTTATCTAATCCAGGCCCTGGACTCCTGGGGAACCCCAACCTCTGTCTGTTTGGGTTCAGAAATCAATAAAATCAGTTGCCATGAGAAGATCTGAAATGTCCCAGTGGTATCTAGGGACATGGTCCAAATGGCTCTCTTGGTCAGATCTTCACAGGATCCTGACCTCAACTCTTTCTGGGACTGTGTAAGTAGGAAAAAATGCTTCATCCAACTAATTACATCGGCAATTAACTAATTGCATTTACAATTGGCCACTTATTGTCTTGAAACTGAAATGGAGGGCAATTGACTAATGGCTAATGAGCTAATGAGTGTCTTTAAAGATGAGAAGGACTGCTGAACTTGTTTGTGGAGTAACTCACCACTGAAGGCTAAGAACCTAACATTCTTCTTTTATTTAGAGAGGAAATAAATAAATACACCGACTTGCCTCCTCAGCTATTTTCTTATTACTCTCCTTGCCTCAAGTCTTCACTTGGGAACAAGGGCTGGAATTCTGGTGCCATCTTTGACCTAGAACTTGGCTTCCCCTCCCACTCTTGATGAAATTGGTCCCTGCCCCACATTTGGGTAAAGGGCCCTTTAGTTAAAGGGTCCCGTATTTTGTTCATGGTGATACTTCCTGAGGCATTGTCAAACGACACTGTGTCACTATCCAGAAAAATGTCAGCTCCTTGGGAACTTCCTTCAGTCAATCAACGGACCCATCCACGACAACTTGTTAAGTGCTTGCTCTGTGCTGGGCACAGCACTTTGTTGTTCAGTCATTTTCAGTTGTATCTAATTCTTCGTGACCCCATTTGGGTGGTTTGCCATTTCCTTCTCCAGATCATTTTACAGATGAGGAAACTGAGGCAAACAGGGTTACGTGACTTGATAGGAAGTGTCTAAGGTGAGATTTGAACTCAGGGATTCCTGACTTTAGGCCCAGTGCTCTATCCACTGTACCAGATAATTGTTCCCAGCTATATCCCAGACCCTAGCCCAGTGCCTGGCATACCGGAGGCATCTGATCGACGCTTGTGGAATTTGGATTAGAGTACAGTTCAGAATGGCTCGCCATGCATGCAGAGCTCCCTCCCTCCATCCATGATGACTTTATGTCTTCCTTATTTTCCCATTATCCCTTCAGGGGAAGCTAAACTGGCCTCTTTAACATCTCATTCTACACCTGGGCTTTGGATCATATAAGAACATAGGATTTAGACCTAGAACATCTATAATCATAGGTGTGGAACTGGAAGTGATCTCAAATGCAATCTAGTCCCCAGTCCATCCCCATTTTACAAGTGAGAAAATGGAGGTTCAGGGATGGTAACTGCCTTGCCCAGGGTCACATCAATAATAGGAGTCAGAGGTAGAACTCGAGCTCAGATCCACTTATGCCAGAACCAGGGCTCTTAGCATCATCGAGGGGCAGCCCCTTGGGTTACAGAGGAAAAAATTTCATTTGAATTGGTCCTTTACAGTCCTGGGATATCTTTCTTCTCCTTCTCTCATGTTAAACCCAAATGGCAGAAAAATCTAAGCGAGTTCTCCCTTGGCCCAGAGCGCATCTGGCTCCCAACCCCATTCCCCTACTGTTTTTAGAGGGGTACATTTTCATTGGTTACTCCAAAGATTGCTCAGAGAGGTAGGTCAATATTATAATTCATTTCAATTTTACAAGTGACCCAAATAGGCCCCCAAGGCATTAAGTCGGTTGTTGGCCGGCATCTAGTTAACGGCACACCTGGTCAAACCAAAACTCATATTCGCCAAGTTTCGGGTTCCTAGTCATAGACTCACTCATTTGGAGTTGGAATGGAACTCAGTGACCATTTATTCCAGCACTTTCATTTTATAAATGAGAGAACTGAGGCTCACAGAGTTTGTCACTTGTACAAGGTCATATAGGCATGATGTCACAGAGTTGGGATTCCAACTCAGGTCACAGGACCATAGATGTAAAATGGAGGGGGCAGGCAAAGTCAACAAGGCAAATCTGCTTATTTTACAGGTGAGGAAACTGAGGCTGAGAGGTAAACAGAGGTCACATAGGTAGTGACCAGTGGAACTGGAATTCAAACCCAGGACCTCTGATTCAAGTCTAATGTTCCTTCCACAGCCCCACACTGCCTAAGTGTCCTTATTATTCTTTTCAGGCCACCCTCTTTCTCACTGGTACTATCTTTGTATTTGAATTTTGTTACAGATTGGAGGTCAGCCTTGATTTCTGACAGTTGTGGCTGTATTTGCCCCCCAGACCTGGGGTCTGAATTTAAAATCAGTCACCACTTGCTAATGTCCAGAAACAATGCAATGATGGGATTGAAGTACCTATGTCCTCCCAGAAAGCTAGCTCAATGGGCCAGCGCCGGAGGGGGCTGGAGACGAGCTGCTAATGATGGCTTTAACAACTGCTTTGCTAATGAAAAGTAGAAAGCCCTCTGGATGGCTCACTCAACTTACCTGTGCTTGGCCGCCCGTGTGCAGGGGAGGGTGTGGCGAGGTCTGGTGGTGTGCCGGGTGCGCATGGAGGTGGGAGTGATGATGTGGGTGGTTCTGCTGGTGATGGGCTTGCGGATGAGGGTGGTGGGCAGGGTGCTGGTGCTGGTGCTGGTGTGGGTACGGGTGATGGGGTGGCAGCGTCTGGTGCTGATGTGGGTGCGAGTGCAGGTGATGGTGCGGCGTCTGGTCTTGGCGAGAGCCCATCATTTCCATCATATGTCCCATGCTGTTCATGTTTCCATTGGACATGGCCGCAGGGTGGTGAGTCAGAGCTGCCTTCAGCCTCTAGAACAAAGCAAGCAGAGAGGGGGAAACTGAGACCAGTAATGGAAATCCAGGCAGGTGAATCTATGTGACTTCAGTTCTATTTAATTCAACAAGCATTTAGTAAACACCTTCTGGATGTCAGGCATTGTGCTAAGCAGCTAGGTGTTGGAGATAGAAATAAAATAAAAAAATGAAATAGTGCCTTCCCTCAAGAAGATTACATTCTATAAAAGGAGGGGGAAAGGGGGAAGTAGAGAAAACATGTATACAGTTAAGGAAATGCAAAATCCATACAACAATGGGGGAGACAGGGAATCAAAATGACTCATATTGACAGTGGCATTTTTGTAGCACTTCAAGGCTTTACATTCATTATCTCATTTGAGCTTCACAACAACGCTCTGAGGATAGTATCACAGATGTTATCATACCCATTTTACAGATGAGGAACCTAATGCCCAGAGAACTGAAATGATGTTTGTAACCACCCAGCTAGTGTCTTCAAACCTTTCTGACTACATTTCCAACACTTTAGACTCAGTATATGTTTTGAGGGTCTTCATAACCTGTTCCCAGCCTACCTTTCTAGCCCTGATGAACTCTGCTTGCCTTCCCACACTCTGTGATCCAGACCCACTGGCCTTCTCTCTGTTCTTATCTCATGCCCATTTCCCGCCCTGTGCCTTCGCACAGAGGATCCTTCTCTTCCTTTAGGATGCAGCTCAAACATCACCTTTACAGGAAGCCTTCTCTCACTCCCTGCAACTGCTAGTGTCCTCCTCCTAAACTACTTAATGACTTTGTATATGCTTGTACTTACTAACTTTATACATATGCTATGTTTGCATATATGTGTATGTATAGTATAAATATATGTACATATATGTATACATTTAGAATATGTATAAAGTTAATATATAACTAAAGTGAATATAAAAGTGCATACATATGTGTATACACACATATGCATATATACACATACATACACATATTTACAGGCATACTTCATTTTATTGTGCTTTGCGGATATTGTATTTTTTACAAATTGAACGGCAACCGTACGTCGAGCAAGTCATTTGGTGCCATTTTTCTAACAGCACGTGCTCACCTTGTGTCTCTGGGTCACATTTTGGTAATTCTCACAATATCTTAAACGTTTTCATCATTATTATATCTGTTACAGCAATCCGGGATCTGGGATCCTCGATGTTACTATTGTCATTATTCTGGAGTGACATGAACAGCACCCATATAAGACGGCAAACCTAATCACTAAATGTTGTGTGTTCGGACTGCTCTACCAAATAGCAGTTCCCATGTCTCTTTCCCTCCCCTCTGAGCTCGCTATTCCTTGAGACACAATATTGAAATTAGGCCAGTTAATAACCCTCTAAGTGTTCAAGTGAGAAGTAGAGCCAATCGATGAGGCAAACTTCATTGTTGTTTTATTTTACGAAATTGCCCCAGCCAACCCAGGCTTCAGCCAAACCACTCTGATCAGTCAGCAGCCATCAACTTTGAGGCAACACCCTCCACCCTCAAAAAGATTATATATAGCTCACTGAAGGCTCAGATGGTGGTTAGCATTTTTTAGCAATAAAGTATTTTAAATTAAGGTATGTATATATATATTTTTTAGATATGATACTATTGCCCACTTAATAGACTGCAGTATAATGTAAATGTAACTTTTATATGTACTGGGAAACCAAAAAATTCATATGTTATGCTTTATTGAGATATTTGCTTTATTGAAGTCATCTGGAACTGAACAGGTAATATCTTCAAGAGAGGGAAGGAGGGAGGGTAGGGGAGAAGAGAAAAAAGGAGGGAGGGAGGAAGGGAGGGAGGGAAGGAGGGAGAGAGAGAGAGAGAGAGAGAGAGAGAGAACCTTAGATGCAATCTAGTCCCCATTCCATTCCCATTTTACAGATGAGAAAACCGAGACCCAGGGATGGTAATTGACTTGCCCAAGGTCACACTGATAATAGGCGTCAGAGGTGGGACACACACACACACACACACACAGACACACACACTTGTGTCCCCCGTTAGAATGTAAGCTCATGGCAAGCAGGGATTGTTTCATTCTTTGTACACGTATCTCTGGTGAGCCTGGCACTATGGTTAATAAATACTTGTAGATTGATTAATTATGCCACAAATTAAAAACCAATTCAAAACAAAACAAATTTGGAATAGGGGTGGTGCTGGTATTAATGGATGACTTGCCCAAGGGCACAATCCAACAGCACAGGCATTACAGTTTATAAATTTAGATCTAGAAAGGCATTTAGAGACCAGATAGTCCAACTACTTTATTTTACAGCTGAAGAAACTGAGTATCAGGGAGCTTAAGTGAGGCTGCTGAGTGGTGCAGTGGATAGGGTGGATAGAGTCAGGAAGACCTGAGTTCAAATCTGACCTCAGATACTTCCTAGCTGTGTGACCCTAGGCAATTCATTTAACCTCTGTCTGCCTTGGTTCTATAAAATGTGGATAATAATATGCTTCCCAGGGCTGTCATAAAGATAAAATGAGATAGTATTTGTAAGGCATTTTGCAAACCTTAAAATACTATATAAGTGCTAACAATGATTATTATTGCTAGTATTACTACAACGATGATGATGATGATGATATATTCATAGCTTGCAAGAAGCTTACCTCCTTTCAATGGGTATCAAATTGGTTCAGGTGAAGAGGCCCTCATGGTAATACCATTCTGCCTCACACAAAAGATTGCCTTGACTTTGGGAGGGAATGAACAGGAAGAAAGTAGAATAATACAGAAAGTGGTATTTCTTGTTTAGGATGGGTGGGAAGCAATAACAATATTGGGCCCCAGAAAGTTTCCAGGCACATCTGAAACATTGAATGGAGCTTGATTAAAAAAATAAATAAAGTCTGTCATAAAGAATTACTCAATGATTGGCCCAGGCCAGATTCCTCAAAATGGTTATTATTGTAATAACCCATTATCCTCACAGACCAGAACAATGTCCTGGGTCCTCCATCATCAAATAGCTTCTTTTTTGGAAACAGGCCGTGCATTAAGAAGTGTGTCTCATTGTAGGATCGCCCTAGGTACACAAAGTCTTTACTAAGGCAAGGAGGTAGGGTGGGGATGAGGGGGTTAGGGAATAGAGTCCTAAACTTGAAGTCAGGAATGCCTAAGTTCAACTCTTGCCTCAGATACTTACTAGCTATGTAACCCTGGACAAGTTGTCCCCATCTATAAAGTGGGGATAATAATAACACCTAACTCTCAGGGTTGTGGTGAGGATGAAATGAGATCTTCATTTGATATGAGATACTAGAGGACTTTGTGAACCTTAAAATTCTGTGTATTGCCTAATATTACTCCTAAAGGACCTTGAGTTCTCTTCGTGGATTTGCATACAAAGCTGATCACAGATTATGGTAAATGCTAATTATGCAGATGGAATAGCTCCATGAAAGCTGGAGTTTTCTGCTACAGAGTTTTCTAGCCAGTGTAGAATTTCCAGGTTGCCATGGCCAACAAATCCATCCCATATTGGCCACCATATTAGAGATGAGCTGCTCTGGATCTAGCTAGGTTGGTGGTCAGAGCACATACTCTGACTGTTCCTGGGACTATCCTGAAAACATTTTCTGCCAGGATCTGTCAGAGCTTATTCCTTGGTGGTGGAATCTTTGGGAATCCAGGGCAACCTCAATGCTATTTCTATGCTCATGAAGAGGCACTAGAATAATACTTAGAATAAAACTTCAGTTAAGTAGACCACATCTAATCAGAACTCTCAATTAACCAGACTTTTAAAAGCACTTCTATACTTCTGCTGAAGTATTAAAATGGAATATAAACTCATAGAAGTTAATTTGTTTTGCTCATTCCCATTCTTTTCCTCTTTGTCTTTGTATGCTCAACGCCAAGCATAGTGTCCAGAACACAGCAGGTACTTAATGTGTGCATTGCATGGAATTGAACTGGTGTGGGTCCACTTTCCAGAGTTGCTTCAGCTCAGGTTTTTGAGCACAGCCTCTCAGAGGACAGCTGAACTCATTTCCTATCACACAGCTTGATAGGTCCATTAACACCATTGCAGGCAACTTCTACCAAGGTAGGGATGGACTGCCAGCTTCAGGGAATGGTGAGTGGCCTGGAATGGAGAGTACCTGAAGGGATGGGGGGATATAAAAAAAAAAAGCCTGGGAAGGGAGGTCAGAGCCGGGCAATGAAGGGCTTAACAAAAAGGAACATTTTTCCTCAGAGGCAATAGGGAGTCAGATTCTTGACCAGGGGAATCTGATGGTCAGATTTGGGCTTTAGGAAAATTATCTTGGCATCTTTATAGATTGGAGAGATGAGAGGCTAGAAGCAGGGAGGCCCTTATTTTGGAAAAATAAAAGCAAGGAAAGTCTAATAGAAAGAAGCAAGGAGAATAGAAAGTAGAATTTTGTTTTGTTTTATCTTTAAATCTTCTCAGTCACACAGCTAATGAGTGTCTGCATTCAGGTCTTCCTGACTCTAGACCCAGTGATCTATCCACCAGCAGTCTAGTCTCCTAGCTGCACCTACACTTTCTGACCTTGTATCCTCAGTGGCTAGCACAATGCTTGACACACAGTAAGTGCTTAATAAATGCTTGTTGAAAGCTTAAAAAAAAAAAAACTTCTTCCTGAAGAGGAATATGTCAGAATCGAGAAAGATATTTAGGGATAGACCAAGATATTACCACTGCAATATGTTACAACCCTTTCCACTTCTAATTAGAAACCAATGAACCTTGACGGATGGCCCAGATTGTCATCTCTCCAATAATTAGCTTGCCCTCTTGAGTGAAATTTATTGGACTGCCCCCCGTCAACTCTTTGCCTGGTTCATAACAATATATTATAATAATAACTTCTCAGCTTTGCTCTCTGCATTCCTCAGTCATGCTGAAAGAACTTCATCACTGTGATTCCACCTAATCCCTGTAGGAAACAGCGAGGCATCTGCAGCCAAGAGCAGGCTTCAGCCTCTGGGTGAT